ACCATGCCCACGGGGCATGGCGGGGCCCGGAGGGGCTGGTGTTTCAAGGGTTTATTTGTGTACTTTATGTTGACTATATTTGCATATGGTTTTCAATAGGATCTTCAAATATATTTGGAATTTATATTTGTTAGCGCCAGAAAGGCATTATCGATACAAAATTATTTTCTTTAAAAAATTCAAAAACGAATTTGACCGTGTGCGCAGATAAACGTAAACATTTGTAATAATGTCAGCAGAAATTGTCCTTTTTGAGCAATATTTGGCTATGTTTTGCAGTTAATGGTGAACTTAAAACTTAAAAATATAGACAGTTAAAAAAACTCTCACAGTGAAAACGGATTGCACCTTAATAAACTGTACTTAACGGACATAAATTTGATAGACCTCAGTGATAGATATAATGTGCATGTATCATTCCCAATCAAGAAACTATGCTAATCAGATGTTCGTACTCCCCTCTAGAGTGTAGTTATTACAACGCCGGCCTTGTCATTTAACAGAACGTTTATCAAGCATAAAACCTAAACAAACACAATTACAGGTGGCGTGAACCGTCCTGAAATCAACTGGACCGATCACGTGGTGGCAAAAAGCACGATTGACTGCTATATTTTATCGGATTTCACAACTGAACTCAGGCCATCGATGAACCAATCCGGGGAATCAAAATACTCGGAATTGTTCCCATTAATGACATTTGGCCTATTTAAACGCCATTTGACAGAGTAACTTTAATGTAAAATTAGAGCATATTTCTAATGTCAGTTAGAAGTACCCTCTAAAACAAGACCAGGTTTCCACGAGCTGCTTTATCACATCAGTTATTGCTTTTTTCTTACCAAAATATTTCCATACATGTAATCTGACTCTATCAATCAGCCCATGCACAGTCAGCCATCGGCCAATGTGTTATTCTTCAACCCCACCCCTCCTCCACGACCACAATGGCTGACGCCTTTAACCTCCCGTGTTGCCTGAATTGTAAGCATCCGCTTGGAGCTGGCGCGGGTAAAGACATCAGATAAAATGCCTGCTTACGCGTCTTGATGAGGTTTCTGGTTTGGACGGGGTGAACAGCTCGTGGTACGTACAGGAGGTCACAACAACTGTCGTTCGGTTCGAATGACCTGACTTCTGCTCCCGACCGAGCATAAGCTTACGTGGGTCGCTGGCACACCCCAAAACCCTTTGACCTTTGTGATACAGGTGTTCGAGGGCGGGAGGTAGTGAAACCCAATAGTAGCCACAAGGTTTGGTCCACTTTTTATGCCCCACAACCGTTAAAATTTCACGTCATGTCTGCGATTCTATTTTGAATTTATGGCTTGATGCTGCATGTTGTTGAGTCCATAATTCCTTATAAAAAACCTGACGTGCTTGGGGTTATCCCGCTTTCTTGCAAGTTTAGCAAGTGACTGGATAACGTGAACCTAGCAGTAAGCCTACTTCATACTTGGGTGGCGTGGGCGACTGGTGGACTAAGAGTCAGGCATCTGCCTTAGTGCGATCTTTACGACAATCCCTCTCAGTCGGATCCGGGCTGGCACGTGTAGTGGCGGCTCTGGCAACGCCATCCACTTGCGCGTTGGAAAATCTGGTTTTACTAGCGTATTTTTTTAGTGGTCATTTCAAACCATCTGCGAACGACATGGACATTGGGATGTGGCACTATTGTGCTAACATATTTAAATGCGTAGGCGTTACACCGACAAAGTTATGTCCATGCGAAGAGTGAGAACCGTAATTCTGTGGACTGTGTAAATAAGGCGTAGGCGTTTACGTTTCAAGTTTGATTCATCCCATAGAAGGTTCCGACGGCATTGACGTTTTTTGTTGTCGACCAGGACTTTGTAGTTTCTATTTTAGAGAAGATGCATGCGAACGATTACAAGCTGTTGTCACAAACTTTGAGATGCAAGAGTAAAACTTGTTTAGTACTAAACAATGTCTCTTCGCTCCGCTGCCGTATGACTCAACCACTGCGTTTTGGGCCCGTCAATTGTTGCTGATGTATGTAATGCAGAGTGCCATCCTGTTTCTTATTTTAGGAATTACTAAGTGTCTTTGAGTTGAGGTTAAACTAGGAACCGGAATCGAAGACACTCGAGAACCCACGTAAAGGCTGGTTTGTACAACATCTGGCGCATTCTTCTGATGTATCAACGCTGATACAATGGCCACAACACAATTTTAACGCGATCAGAGATGGGCTCATGCTCGGTGCCAAGCCAAGCAAATTGGCCCTTCCACGCGTGCTCCGCATGACCCCAATGCTAAAAAAGTCTGCCACGCAAAAGTATACTCCGCTTGTGCTTCGCATGAATGATAACGCTATTGTGGCCAAAATTCGGCGCATCTACTACTGCCTGACCTTCGGTCCTCGGAAAAACCAGAATCCCCAGTCACACGGCGGCTGACGTAGACGGCTTTTGAAATTGAGACGCCACCCTTTTTGCCCTCCACTACCATGTTAAATTTATTCTATGCACATCGGTTGGTCCATTTTGCTTACTACATGCACATTCTTACCCCACCACTGTCGGTAAAAGCGTACCGATCGCTAGCGTATCTCACATCCCCCACTCTGCCTTCGGGCCCATTCCCGAGCCCCGCCAACAGCCCCACAGCGGTTAGTCCTAAAGGAATACTGCCGGTTAACGCAACGAAGACTGGAAGGGCCATTTCTGGCTTATAAGCCGTCATCAGCCAGCCAGCCAGCCAGAGGTTTTGCATCACCTGAAGTTCGAGCCCGAGACTTCTTACTTATAATTTCGAACGCTCGCAATACACTGAACCCCCAGATTGTTGACCTGTCGGTTTCGATCGAGAATATTAACAAAGGTAGCTGTTCGCTCACCGATCGGTCATGGAAGTCACCTGTCTTGTTGTGTTTATAGATTAACTCTCTAGGCCCGGCAACAACCGCTTACTAGCTGGCATGTTATAGGCAGAAATATACCACTGGCAATCATTGTGGAGCTCCTTTAGTGCGGGCA